ATTATTCCAATGGGCATTAAGTGTCTCATGTAGACATACCCAGTGTGAATTATCCTACTGCCTCCAAGAAAGTAAGAAAATAAGATTAGATCAGTCATTCCCAGAAATTTGAGGCTAATAGACTACTATCAACCCTCAGTTTCTCATTAGCCGTCCATGTACTCTCACTTGATAGTGAGGGGGAGTGTTCTGTCCTTCCCACCCAGAATATCAGTTTCCCTAGAACGTCTCCCTCGCTTAAGGAAGCTTCCACCCTTCTAAAAACCTTCTCACTATTTTATAATGCTGTCTTCTCATGTGCATCTGGTGTGTCAGGTCATATGGCAGGGAAAAGGCTGTGACACTGCTGCTGTGGGGTAGGGTCCACTGCCATCTGTAGACCATATATTATAGCCTTTCAGATCAGAGTTTGAAGATCACATGAAGGAATGTTGTGGTGAATACCATATAGTACTATTGTGATGAATACTATAAAGAGTTTTGAAGAAAACATGGAAGGTATGCTTATAGCATATGTGGCATACACTTCTCAGTGTAGTAAAAGAGAAAATATGCCTTCAGAGTGCTTGCTTTTTGGGGGAGAGGGAGAGGTCACTTGGAATTAAAGCACATGGGGCAGGATTAGTTTAGGGGAAGGAGGATCACACCCTTCTAGCAAATTTTCTATAAACTTTAGCCCACTTCCCCTTCAGCTTGACCAGAGCAACAAAAATAAAGGAAGATTAAATCACATGTAATGTATAGCTGCTACTTTACTGGTGTTTGTTTATAAATGAAATTGGTCTTTTTGTAAAATAATTGGACTTGGTCTGTATCAAAAACTGGTTACAGCTCTTACTAATTGTCATCTGTATTGGCTATCCCTCAGTGTCTAATGCTGGGAGTATTTGCTCCTCTGCACCTAGCAGATCTGGCAGGGCTGTCAGGAAATGGGGATTAAAATCCCTGGCAGGAATAGTGCCTTGGTCCCACCCTCCCCTCTTCCACTCTGTATAGGGGTGGTATCAGGCAATAGACAGCCCTACTATGTGGACCTGCCATGTTCAATTTAAGGCACTGTACACACCAGTCACCCTTGGGTACCACAAGAGCCTGTCCAGGGGCCAGGTGTTCCACGTACCTTTGTTTCAGGAGGTACATAGGAGCCGAACTGAGAAGCAGCTGCAGCAGAAAGGTGTGCCTGCCTGCATTGCATTATCCAACAATGCTGTAGCTCTTTCTGGTTTGGCTCCAAAGTGCCTCCTGGAAACAGGTGAGTGAGACTGTTCCACCTGTCTTACGTGCCTCAGTTTATGGGAAACACTGTGCAAAGTCAGACTGGGAAGGGCTGTGGCAAGAATATGTACTTCTGCCACAGCCACTTTCCGATTTGGCTCTGTAGGAGGTGTGCAGCACAGTTGCATCTGGCTGCACATTTAATCTAATGAAATAATAATATTAATGCTATAATTTTTATATTTATATAATATTCCTGAGATATTACTTTTTTAAATGGGGTGTTGCTGAATTTTGGAAAGTTTTGGACAGGTGCTTTGAGTCTAAAAAGATCCATTGTTTTGTGGTTTGGGTGTTAGCCACATAGGAGCCTCTGTGTTTGAAATCAACTGAAATGTGTGATTTCTGAAGTTCAGAACAGTGCTAGAATCTGATACCCATTCTCCTGAGAATCAGGTGATTTTGCAAAATGTGCAAAAACCCTGCAATAAAAAATATAACATAACCTATCACGTGAGGAAAATTAACACCATGAAATAATACAAAGTTAAGAGATTTTAAATGATAGGCTTATGGAGAAGCTGTGTGAAGACAAACTGAGTGAAAGAGAACAGTGACAATCCATCTTCATTTTCAACAGCATGACCATAGCTTTGGACAAATTGGGTATGGATTGTAAAAGGTCAGTGAATATTAAAATAGGCAGTGCTTACTCCCTTGTGGGTAGGAAGGCGAGATTTAAGGCAAAACACAAAAGCAAAGTGCAGAGTTGATCCAGGCCTTCAGCTTTGTGTTGTTCATTGTGTTCTGTATCAAAAAGCTCCCTGAGCCAAAACTTTGGGCATGTATCATGAATATTGTGGTAAAAATAGTTTATTTCATCCAAACATCTGTGTTCAACCAGCTCTTGGCAACTTTCAGCATAGACTGCTATATTCTGTTGAAGTGTACTGGCTGGGTCATGGGCCTGTCATCTTTGAACTGTCACGTGAAATACAGAAACTTGTAGCTGAGCTACAAGATGAAAATGGTTTCAAAACCTTGGTGGACATAATGAGACATCTCAGTATTCTGAAAATGAGAATGCAGGGTCAGAACCAAATTGTGACCAAGTTTTATGACACTGCATGCCTTTGACATAAAGCCATTTCTGTGCTGAGAGCTGTTTCTCCTAATGTAGTGCATTTCCCCCACCTTGAAGTTTCTGCTCAGTGCTGCTGGGATTGAAGGTAATGAGAGGTTGGAGAAATATGTGGTCAAGATTGCTGATTCCAAGACCTATTCTTCAACTTTTGGAACCATGAAATCGAGTTCAGACTGTTTTCTTTTCCTGTTTTCTTTCCCTGTGAAGATGTCATCCAAGAGCAGCAAGTAGAACTCTTTGATCTTCAGTGTAATACTACACTAAAGGATACCTTCTCAACAGTGAGGATTTGCACATTTTGCCAATACCTAGAAGACAGTGATCCAACAGTAAAATATTTTGCATAAAGGATGTTGTTCATGTTGACAAGCATGTGTGCGTGAAAACATCTCGGTGATGAATAGGAATCCTGGTTTTCTCCAATTAAAAAAAAACCAAAAACCCAACTTTTGGTTAAAAAAAATATATATATAAAATGTAACCCCGAATCCACATTTTTCCATGATTAAAAGGAAACGCCACTATATAGATAGATAGGGAGATATAGATATATCTATATATTAGTGGTGTTTCCTTTTAATCATGGAAAAATGGATTTGGGGTTACGTTTTTGATTTTAAAAAAAATTGAGATTTTTTTAAATCGTAGAAAACCAGGATCCCTGGTGATGAACATCAACAAGTTAAAATTGTGTTGAAGACTCAGTGGCTGAAACTGGTTTTGGAACAGTCGCTGCAACTAGACATTAAGAGGTACCAGGTGACTGGGAGCAGGATTACTAGTACAGTAGTTCTTAACATTTTTAGACTGGAGCTCCCCCTCCATAACTTTTTGGAATTTAGGGGTGGCCCATTTCAAAGACTGCAGTTGTAGCCCTGTGCTTCCCCCTCCCCTCCCCTCCCAACTAGGCTTTGGCCAGTTCATTGCTGATGATGGCTTCCTGGAGATCGCTTTACGGCTTCTGTATTGATCTCCTGAGTCTAGGGCTAGGGACAGACATTACACACAAACTGGTTTAAATGCTGGTTTAAATCTGTAACAGAACAGATGTTTAGTGCACATAAACCAGTTTGACAATGGCTGAAACTGGTTTGAGATAAACCTGGTTGAATGTAGTATCAGCTCAACTACTTTGGGTCAAACCGGTTTATGCAATCTGTCCCAGACCCATTCCTGGTTTAAGTTTATGTTTAAACCAGCCCCCCAGCATCCAGATGCTTTGCAGCCCTTCATGGGGCTCTGTTCCACAGCAGGGCTGGCCCCACCCCTCTCCTCCCTGGCTTGAGCTCCAGCAGAGACAGCAGGTACAGCGGCATCTGCCTGGCTTCCCCCCACCACCATTCCCTGCTCAAGCAGGGATTCCCCCCTCTTCTCTGCCTCACACAGACACCTCTCAGCATTAGCTAACATATCACATGCTGGCTATGGTCCATGCTATGGGAGCCGAGACAAAAGGAGACGGAGACAAGACTGTGTCAGCTTAGGGCTTTGGACCTAATCAGGTAGCTGGTAATGTCCCTCTGTTCCTTTCTTGGAAAAAGTTGTTTAGGAAGAGGTTGAACTAATGAGAGAGGCTTTTGTTCTGTTTGATGGGCTGATAAATGCTAACAACTCCCTGTATAACTCCCTGTTGTGTAACTAAATTCTCTGTTGTCAACAACTGGGGGGAGGTAGGGGGGGCAGACCCCTCCCTAATCAAAGCATCCTGTGGGGACCTGGTCATGTCCCCCCCTCAATTCAGCACTGGAAGGGAAGGCTGCTGTAGCACCCCTTGTCTACTAGCCTAGGCCACTGCAAGCACGTGCCAACATTTCCTTAGTCCAGAGTGGATGTCTGCAGTTACAAACCAGTTCAGCCTAGCCAGGTTAGATTAACCTTCAAAGATTGAACCAATTCAGACTCAAGCTTTTTGAGCGTCTGTCCCTAGCCAAGATGATGAGGCTGTTGCACTGAGGTGGGAGGAAGGGAGGCAGCCAGGATCTGCTCAGCCCTGGCTACTTGTTGCCTACATCTTGCTGCTGCTGCAGTTAATGTCCATGGAGCTCCCTGCTCCGCTTTGCTGCTCCAGGCTATGCTGCAAATTGGCATTCTTCTCCTGACCTCCAGCCCTGGCACTTGGGTGCAGCTTATCTTCAGACAGCTGTGCCACCTCTGCTATCAGGTGGAACTGCTCCATGCCTCTTTCCAGGAGGCATGTGTGCAACTGGACTGGGAAGTGTCTGGAGTAGAAAGGGATGCTGCTAACCAGTGCAGGCAGGAGTGCTCCTTCCTGCCACAGCAGCTTCCCAGTCTAGCTCTGAACATGCCTTCTGAAAACAGAGGCATGCAGGGCAGTTTCACCTGGGTGCAGCAACAGTGCCACAGTGGACAGTTGAGAACCACTGTACTAGCAGTTTGTGAGAGATTAGTATGTGCAAAAGATTTTTTTTGTTGTAAATTAATTTATATGCTGTGGCCCATAGACCAATTTGCAAAAATATGTGTAATAACGAAGGTTCCTGGTTTTCTGTTTCCCAGGGAAAAACAGAGAAAACCAAGGATTTCCCCTTTTTATCAGAGGAAAATGTGGATTTCTCCTTTTAGCAGAGAAACCCGTAGATTCCCTGCTTTTGTAAACAGCTCTACAGGCTGGTTGAGCTCCAGCCTGCAAGTGCTGTTTGCAAACAGGGTGGGAAACCCCCAGTCCTGCCCAGAGGGGAAGAGGGAGGGGGAAGGGCAGGGCATGAGGCTCAGTTAACCAGAGCTCTGCTCAGCTCAGCTTCACTCTTTGCTTCTGAGGTAAGTGGGGCTTGCTGGGGGCTGCGGGTCATGGTTGGAGGCCCTGGTAGAGCTGGGGGTGGGGAGGGCAGGAACTGGCCACACCTGAGCAGGTAGAGCAGTGCGGGAGCTGGCTCCATGCTGTTTCTGCTGCAGCTGCGTGCTGTTGGGGGCAGGGAGCTGCAGACTTAGGTCCCTGTCCCCATAGTCCTGACAGCTGGGAGCCCCCTACAGCAGGGCCGGGGGCAGGGGCTGTGGGTGGGGGCAGGAGGCACGAGTAAGGTGGGGGGCTGTTGTGAGGGCAATGAAGGGCACCAACAGGATTAGGATGGCTTTGGGGGTGAATGAGGGGCACCAGCAGGGCTGGGGGGGTGGGGCGCTGCAAGGGGCTTTTAATTTTAATAACTGATTTTGGGGTTTTTATCAGAGAATTTGTGATTTATTATTATTTTTTTTTATCAGAGAAAACCAGGATCCCTGGTAATAACCTTGCAGCTGGTTCTTATCACAGCTTTAATTGAATGTGCGGTCAGTGTCCAGTTTCTGGAGCATATAGAAGTCTGTCAAGACTCCGGTGTGCTCCCCTGCCTGGGAGCTTGGTCAGCGGATTGGGAGTGCACAGTGCACTCTTGTGCCTGGGAGCCAAGCTTGCTACTTGCTGGTGGAGGGGGAGCCCAGGATCAGGTTCCCCTTGCACAAGCAGTATGGTACAATGGGATCTGATGCAGAATCGCCAATCACGTCTCTTGCTGTGGAAATGTGACCGGGATCCCACATAAGATCCCTTCATGGCTTTATTTTGACATCTGTCAGTTTAATTTTGGGACCAATCTGTTCTTGTCTTGTAAGGAGAGAGAAACTAGAATTTCCTGATTTACCTCGTCTATCCCAGTCATTATTATGCATCTGTAATGAGACACATTTTTATTTTTTTCATCTGCTCTCTAACCTTTTTTTGTTTCTAATCAGGCAGAAGTTTTCCCATGTCTTAATTGCTTCTGTTGCTTAATTGTTACTGTTCTGTCTTCTGAGGCAGGCTGGCCAGTATTTGGATTTATAGGTCTATCAGCTGCTAGGTAACTTTAGTAGAGCGACCTTGCCTGTGAAGTTTGTATATCTTGTTGGTATGCAGGTACTTAGTTTCTGACCTTTAGGGCAGGATTTACTTATTTTACATAGCTTCATCTTTGAGGTAACTGTGATTGTCTTTATTTATTTGCTGATTAGTTTTTTCTTTTCTGAATTCATTCTCATTTTCTTTTGTGCAATTGGCTTGAGACACTAATTGAATATTTTAGTAGGAAGAAGAACACTACGAATTGCCAGCCTAAGGTCTGTGAAATTATTACTGAGGTCCAAGTTCAGTTAAGCTTCATGTGCTAAATTAAATCCAAGTTAGACTTCAGTAGGGCTATCAATGCTTAGAGAAAAATACATGCATAGAGCTTGGCAGGATCCAGCTGTTAGGATATGAAAACATGTTTCACATTGGTGAACTATTTTTTTTTCTTTTTTTTTCTGTTTTCAAACTTCAAAAGGAGTAAAACTATTTGCTGCTGATAAGGAACCAGGTACAATTTGTATAATTTATTTTATACTACAGTTATACACCTTCTAAAAAGGAGGATTTCTGGCAGAAAATGTGACATTTTCAGTATACTGAGTGGCACTATCTTGTCTACTTTTGCTTTACTTTTTATTTCTCCTCTACTGTACCTTCATCTAATTAGTATATTCATCAGTATTTTGGTTCTTGCAGAGGAGAGAATTTGATGTGGATAACCTGAGCAAGCCAGAACTGCGGATGCTCCTGAGCATAATGGAAGGGGAGCTAGAAGCACGGGATCTTGTAATTGAAGCCTTGAGGGTAAGTTTACTTTTGGGTTCTTTGTGGCTTTGTTTTTTGGGGTTTTTTAAAGATTTCTATCTGTCTTTGCTCCCCTTTTTAATCATTGCACGTAAAATTGGAATGGTAAACTGTAATTTCTAAGAGGCCTTTAGCTGTTCAGATCCCAATCATAAAATATTTTCTTGGCTTAGTGGTACCATGTGTCCTTGCTCCAAAACTCTTACCAAAATATGTACAGTAATTGGGCCTGGATTTTGAAAGGAAAGCGTTTGGAAAAAACAAAATAACTTTTCTTTGAATTCATTCTTATTTATAACAAATGGGAGTAATTTCAAAGCAAATCTTTTGCATTCAGGCTAGTCTTCATTTGTTTTAAGTTTGTTTTTGTATGCGAAAAATATTTTCCTAGAATTGCTGGCCTTTCAAAATGAGAGGGGAGGTAGATCAAATATGTTGGTTGTAGGGGGGTGGGGAAGAAGTCCCCTTCTCCCCCCTCACCCCCCCAGCAGGGTTTTGTAAAAGATTGTTATTTTTATTCTAATAGCACTCATGATTCCCAGTTTTGATTGTGTCCTCATTGAGTCAGGTGCTGTAAAAGATGAATTGGAAGACATGTTTCTTACTCAAAAAACCTTGCAAATTACATATCTTTGTGGGTTACTAGTCTTTTTAGAAACTACATAAATATGCCTTAATCAATTGGTGATCAATTTTGGTTAATTGGCATTAATTAATTTTAATGACTAAACATGTTCTGCCAGATAGATTTACCTGGCTGCTTGGTCTGCCAGCCTGTTTGGCAGGATGCCAAGCAACCTGGTAAGCAAAAATCCACTGGAATTCTGTCAAATGTGAAATATGAATTAATCTTTTCTGTTCATAAATCAAGTTTAACTGGGGGGGGCAGGGGGTGGATCCAAACAGATTGTTTGTTTAATTGACCTGTAAATTGATAATTTTATACAGGATATTTAGCAAATTTACAGCTATATATTTGGTATAAGCAAATATACAGCCTGTTTGGACTTCAACAGTGAAAACCCAGTGTAATGCAGTATGCCTAAAACAGGATGTCTATAATACATATAATTCTTAAATAATGTGTTTAAAATTTTTAACTTCACACTAAGAATTACAATAGTCCCTGTATTTGCATTAAGAAGGTTTATTTCTTGTCATGACTTCAGACCACTTGATGATAAAAAGGAACTTTTCTGAACAGCCATCACTGATACCCATATTAATAACTTAGAGCACATGCATATGAAACTTGCACCTTAAAGTAATTTGGTTTTGTTTTTGAGGCATGTACACTTCCTAAAATATGCTTCCTCTGTCCTGCTGCTTTACAACTTCATATCTTGTTTGCCTGGACCAGTGGTGACATCTAGGGGGTGCAGGGGGGTGTACGTCAGGCCGCGCTCCCTATTTAGCCAGCGGGCAGGCGGGAGCACCAGTGCCCCCCCGCGAGTGCTGGCTGGGAAGCACGGCCACCAGCAAAAGTGCCCCCCCCCCCTCCAGTCAGTGGGATCAGCCACTGGGCCCCCCCTGACTCGAGAGGCACCAGTCACCCATGGCCTGGACTCAGCCTTTTTACTTACCCTGACTGCCAAGTTAAAGTAAAAATAGTTGTGCAAGGGAAAACTGTTCAGTTATCCTATTTGCTGTTCTCTTTGCCTCTTTTTATTTTAGAGGACAGCACTTTGAACAATTTCCCTTTCATATTTGCATTCACTAGGAGTTCTCAACATCATACATATACCCACCAAAGAATGACTATATTAGGATACATGCAGTATGAAGAAAGGAGATGTGTATCTAGTACACATTGATTGACAGTGAATATTTAAACCTCTGTCTATATTACAGTTTCTGCAAGGACAAAATTCAAATGAAGTGGAACTTCCCAGCCATCTGCTTGAGACAGTTAGTTTGTTAGCATGCATTCAATGGATTGTATTCATGGGGGCTAGGTACAGACAGTCAGAAAGCCCAAGGCTGAATCAATTCAGTCTCTGCAGAGGGAGATCCCTAGGAGGACTTAAACTCCTGGAAAGTGTATAGATGTTCAGTCTCCGAGGCAGCAAACCTCTCCAATGAGCGATTTTTTTATCCTAGTTGGTGGGCTACTTTTCTCTTGCAGCAGCCATTTTTACTCTGGGAGAAAAAGCCTGAATATCTGTATACTTTTGGTTTGGCTTTGGTTATTTGGTCTGTACTTGGTATAAACAAAGTTCTGATACTAGCTTGTTAAATAAAAACGGAAGTGTAAAAGTTTGAAATTGGTGACATAATTGTAGAAAAATGTTTCTGATTGATATTATTTTATTTTATTTTATTTTATTTTTTCCTGAAAAGAAATGCAATTGCAGCATATGGAAGGGTGTTTTTGAGCATGGAAAACAGATCATACTAAAGTAAAATGTCTTTCCTGTTAATTAGTGCATGTAACCTTCTTACAACAGCTATGACAATTTAATTGTAACAAATTTCTAAAGGCTGTTAACAAATTCTCTATTAGCAATGTATTTATGGTTGGAACAAAGTTAGAGCTTTTCCAGCTGTGCCCTACTTCTTAATATTACTGTGAAGGCTATGTTCTGATTAAGTCCTAGTGAGGAGGTCTTTAAGCTAGGTGCAGTGAGAAATGGAGACAAAAGCTCACAGGTGAGTAAAGGGCAAGATGACTTTTGGATTAAGGCCAAGAAAGAGAAGGTAATCAGAGAAGTCTTAACACAAGTGTAAGAGGGAAATTAGCATGGCAATCAGTTATAAAATATGTTTATACACTAATGTGAGAAGCATGGGGAATAAGCAGGAAGAACTGGAAGTTCTAGTACAAACACAGAATTATGATCTAATTGAGGTAAGCATAACTTAGTGGTACAGTTTACGTAAATGAAATATTATCATGACGGTCATGTGCTTAGTTCAGGAAGGACAGGCATCGGGGGGGGGGAAAGAAGGTGGTTACCTTAATGTATAAAAGATGCAGACATGTTTTTTTTCTGGATTAACAGTGAGATGTTTTGAGATGCGTTGTAAAGTGGGAGCTAGAACTTTTGAACATCTCTGGGGCAGGGTAAAAGGAGAAAATAGCAAGGGTGACATAACACTTTGATCTATAGTAGTCACCCAGAAAGAGGAGGAGATGCACAAGGCAATTTAAACAACTTATTGAAGTATCAAAATTGCAAGATCCAGTATTTATGGGGGACTTTGCCTGTGCACTGGTATGTTACCCTCCCAGCAGATAACACAGTAAGTTAAACGCATTTTTGGAGAGTGTTGGAGAAAACTTGTTGAAGCCAACTAGAGGGTTAGCTCTTCGCAATTTGCTGCTTTATTAATCGTGTGGGGGGGGAGTAATTGAGACACTGAACGCAACCTGAGAGAGAGGATTATGGTGGCCTGGGAACTGAATATAAGCCAACGTCATACTGGGTTGTATTAACAGGGGAGTTGCATACTTATTACAGGAACCGATTCTTCCACTCTGTAAATCTGAGACTGAGCCTTGCCTGCAGTATTCTGTCCAGTTTTGTACATCACTTCAAGAAAGATGTGGACAAATTGGGAAGTGTGTGGCAGAGAGGAACCAAAATAATCAGAGGTCTAGGAAACGTGATTTATGAGACAGGGTTGAAAAACAGGGTTTATTTAGTCTGGAGAAGAGAAGACGGTCAAATCCCTACCTTGAGCAGGGGTTGGACTAGATGACCTCTGCAGTCCCTTCCAGCCCCTTTTTTCCCCCCTCTGATTTAGGAACAGTGTATATCCTGTGAAGAATGTACTATGTGTTTTTGCTTGAGAAACTAGAATATTCTAATTGAACATTTTGGCTTCTTTGTCAAATTGTACTGCCCTGCATTCTGAACAAAATAACAGTTAAAATTTAGGTGGAGAAAACAGCTCTTGGCTAAATTGCACATAATTGTGAACTGTTTTAATTGTTATGTAAACATGTTACATATTTCATTAGAAACATTGGGGAAGATGGGGCTATCTGCGTTATTTAAAGTCCAGTCCCATGCTGTTGAAGGTAACCACGTTATACAAGCCCTTCATAAACCGGTCAGGCTATGTTTTAAAAGTAGTGAATTTATTTGCTCTTATTTCTCCTACTAGAAGAGATGCAAGTGCTCTGATTGAAACCCTTCACTTTTTCAGATTATTCAGGCTTAGTTTACACCCATTTGTTTTTCTGACGGTATTATTTTTTGGCTTAATTTTTTTTTCTGCCAGGTGCTTACTCCCCAATGGTTTTTATAGAGATCAATCATATACCCCTTCAACCTTCTTTTTTGTTAAAGCCAAAATCTTTTAGTCTTCTTTTGTAACATGAGCTCTTTATTCCACATATCATCCTTGTAGCTATTATGCACTTTTTCAGTTTGAAATAATCTTTCTGGTTAATGGGGTAGCCAGCATAATACACATTATTGCAAATGAGGATGTAACAAGGATCCTGTACACTTATATCAGTGCTACCCAGACTTTTCCTCAGTATGACCCCATTTCTTCACCATAGCCCCTCACTCCCAAACCACAGCCTCTTACCCCCACAACCCCATCTGCTGATGTTTTGACCCCATTTGGGAACCACTTACATAATCTTCCATGCCTGGATTGAAAATAGCTCCCATAATATATTGTAGAATCACATTTTGCCACTTTCCATGAAATCCTGATCTTTTTCCGTATTAACACCTATGTGTTATCAGTGAACTTTGTTAGTATCCTCCAGCTTTTTGGGCAAATGTTATTATTGAAAATCTTTTTAAAAGATTGGTCTGAAGACTGATTTCTCAAGGGACTCTCCCACTGATTTCTATTCCTGCCCATTACTTCCCCCGTCAGTGCTTCTAATGTTTGTTTCTTACCCAATTTACAGTTCTTCTAATTCCCATTGTTTCCAACTTTAACTAATAACTTTATTTGCATTACCGTATCAAAAGCTTTACTAGAGTCCAAATGAATGAAACCTACTGCATTCCTTAAGTCTAGAAAATTAGTTA